AAACAGTGCCCTTGTGAGGTATTTGTGATCTATATTCCCAGTTTGCATATGGGGAAACCTGAGGCATAAAGAGGTTAGGTGACTCTCCCAAGGTTGTACAGTGAATTGGTGTCAGAGTTGGGACTAGAACCCAAGTTGCATAACTCGCTCCCCATACTTTATCCACTAGTCTGTGTTGCTCCCATGTTATATATCATTGCAATTATTTATACTTCTGTGTGCTGGAAGGGGCAATGTCCATATAAGTGTTTTCCAGGCCGTGGGTAAGTGGATACTGTACATGAGGAAGGAATCGTGAATTTTCATTGTAGTAAGTGGAGAAGAGACGGAACAGGAAAACTGCCTTTTATTCTGCAAAGCTGCTGATTGCATTACTGGGCTGCAGTCTCCCAGTCTCTGCCAGCACTACCCAGTAGCTTTTCCTATGCACTTGTGTCAAAGAACCAAGATTAGTGGGAACAGTAAACATGACATTGCTAGAATAGGAAGAAACCACTGGAATGTAGCCACACCATTTCTTCCTGTTTTTAAAACTCTCCCTCCCACCTTGCTTCTGACAGAATATTGACTAGAAACCAAGATCCCATTTTTGCTTAGCCTTAAGGGCAGCCGTTTACAGAGTAGCAGTGTTACATAGGTTTACTGTGTCGTATGTCTGTGTAACACTGGATTTGGATCTTGTATTTAGCTGCCAGAAGTGACTGTGATGAAGTGGGAGAGATAAACTGATAGATTGTGTGCCAGAAAGATGTTGGGAATCAATCAGATAAACAGGGCAAAGAAATAGCTTGCTGTTTTCTAGTGATAATAAACCAGTGGCCTCTGGTCCCTGAATTTTTAAATGTAATTGCTGTGGTGGTAATCTCCGAATATAAGCAAATGAAAAAACATCACGGGAGGTATTCTTAATTGTGCTTGAGTTGCCTTTTCTCTTTCACAATAAAATGTGTGACTTTTGAAGGTGGGGGTATAAATCTTCCTTTTGTTGTTTAAGTCTCTACTTTATTTAAAAGAGAAAAAAAAAACCTCAGGAGATATTTATCAATAAATGTCGGTAAACATTAATTTCATCGTATATATACAAACGGACACAGAAATATTTCCATCGATGATGATAGAAATTCAAAGACGGACAAAGTAAGAAAAATGCTGCTTGAGAACTTGTTAGAATTTGATTTAAGACTATTTGCTTTGTATATTTTGACATGTGAAGTTGACAAATTTGTGTTTTAATGGTTATCAAGCTTTAACTTTTTGAATCTCTATATCTGCTGTCATTAAATAATGTCTTACTACCCCTCATAATTTTCCACAACTGTTAAAATTTAAATAATCAAAAATGCTAAAAATAAACATACATTATTATCCATCAAAATTATATTAAAAAAATAAAAATCAAATTCTGCCAAGTCTATTTATAACACTTTTTTTTTTTTTTTGGAAGGAGGTGATTTTCACCTGCTTATTTCAGTGATTTGCCTATACTATTGGAATCCACATAGTGCATTAGTTTCTTACATAGATCAATACTTGAGGACATCTTTTAATGTCACAGCCGTGCAGAGGTGATTGGAAGCAGAGTCGAAAGCAGGCTGTTGTAAATGGCAGTGTTTGGAGGTGGAGGGGAGTGTACTAAGCTGCAGCTCCATCTGTTTGGTGTTGCATCATGGTCGCACAGTTCTTGCCCCCAGAGTTTTGGCTGCCAGCTGGGGTCAGGTATGTTCTCATTCTTTCACCTTGCCTGCATGTACTCCTTTGGGCAGGGTAAGCATTGCATCAGCACTGTGACTTCTCCCTACCTTTCCCTCAAGGGCTTTGGGGGGCACTGATTGAAATGAATGGAGATCTTTCTGTCGATTGTTATGGTACCTCAATTGGCCACTGGAGTCCAGCTGTCCCTGTTGTGCAGAAGTACAAGGCAGGGGAAGCCCTCCTTAGACATCTTTGCAAAAGACAAAAGACTCTGTGATGCTTCAGTTTCTTTTGAGTTTCAAATGCCATTTGGGATGGGGCCTGTTGTATTAATTTAGATGGAATATATGGGCCAAAGGTGTTAATGTAAGCCAGTCACTGTCCATCATTAAATGGTGTTAAACAAGGCCTGGGGTTTGGTATACAGAAACCTCAGCCTGTTTATTACCATGGCGCAAACACCATTAAAAATCCTTTCAACTCTTTATTAAAAATACAGAAAAGAACTAAAAGAGTTAAAGCATTTGGAAGGTTAAGTATTGATTAAGACTTTCATTTTAACAACATCTCTTGTTTCCTTTCCTGTTAACTGGAGAGAGTTTTAGAAGGAAACCCCCCCTGTCTGACAATCTCTTAGATGGTATCAAAGATGGTGATATCTGTCCTTTTGGGGAAAAGAGAAGATGTTAGTTGAGATGAGCTGCAGCTGTTATTAAAGTCTGATCCCGTTTCATCTCAGGTGGTGTTGGGGATTCTGTTGAAGCTGGTAGGGGTGGTGATGTCATCTTGATACCTCTCTTTGGCCGAACTGGTCAGGGTGTCGCTCAGGATGAGGACAAAGATGGTCCGAGGTCCCAGTAGACAGTGGGGGTGACAGCCATGATGATGAAGCTCTCATCAGTAGTTTCCATCTGTTCTTTCTATTTCTCCCCCAAAGTGTCCTCCTTTATGAACCCAAAAAGAGAGCGATGGGTAGAATAGCTCATCCCCTCATTATTTTGTCCACCAATTGGGCCTAATATCTGACACTCCAATTTTGCTTCATTAATTTCTGGTTCCACATCTTCTGTTTTTGCCAAGCATGATTTTGACATAGTCCTTGAACCATCTCAGTAGGTCGTTTTGTTGACAGTCTCTGTCTCCTTTTCCCATCAATATTTGTTGTTATAGGTTATTGTGACATCTTATGAACCTTCACATACTTTTTACAGTTAAGTGCAAATTAGAGTACATTTGTAGGCCCAGTTATCACAACAGGAACTCTGTACTTCGATTCATTCACCATGAATGAAACAGTGACATTTTGGGAAGTCTGCAAGTTGGGAGGTCACGTTGTATTTATTTTTGTTCTGTACACAAACTATACAGCATATAATATATAGCTTGTGGTGTTAAACAGACATTGGTCAGGTATCCCAGAAGGCTGCATGCGACACCCTACTGGCTGCAGGAAAACACACAGATAAAACCCAACCGTTTCCCCCAGAACTTGGAAAGGAAATAGGAAAGCCTGTTTTAGCATCTGTATGCTGTCTGTAAAGCATTCTGCCTTGCTGATCCTCAGAGTAAACGTGATTGCCTTACCAGAGTGTGACTCTTATTTTGTATAGAATTTATTGTAGAAGCACCACTTTTTCTGC